TAGTATATTAATCGTCACGGATAAATTATGGAAATATTATTCGTCGCGGCGCGTAACAGGAACCGTTCCCATCCCTAAATTTAAGTGATTTTTTTGTAAATAACCCCTTAAACTCCCCTCTAAATAATGATTTAAAACCAATGCATAATTTCCATTATCTGGGAATTTGGTTATACCAAGGCATTGAACAATCAGTGGTGCTCTAATTTTAAAATAATTTATTGCCTGTAATTAAATAAAATTAATTAGTATTGTATAATACAGTATTGTTTATTTTGTTTTAAATGACAACTACCAACCTCATCAAAAAATGCTTTTCCTGGATTACTTGAATCATTTAAACTTTTTAATACTACTCCTTGTTCTCCAAAATAACTAAATTCCTTTTTATTTTCGTCATAATCAACAATAGTTCCTCTTGTCCATGTAGCAGTAAAAATCGAACTAAATCCACCTTCTGTCAACTTTGTCACTTGTTTAAATTGCTCAAAAGGTATCCATTCTAAAATATGGTCTGGCAGAGATGATTTCATTTGAGAATTTTGAATAAAGTTGTCAACTATGTTATTTCCAGATGTCCAAGTGGTGAAAAGACTCTGTAAATGCAATCTAATACAACCTTCACAGAACCTACCAGAGTATCTTGTTAATTTACACTTGTCACATTCTTTTTGTTTCCCCTCTTTATATGTTGCATTTTCTAATTCAAAATCATAAATAAACTTTTCTTTACAATATTCTTTTTCATTTTCAGAAAGCTCCTTGTTTTTTTTGACTAATGAAAATAAATAATCTTTTCTACTTTCTCTATTAGCATTAGCATTAGCATTATTATGTATTTCTCTGTAAATTTTATATACAAAATGCTTTCTTTCTTGTGATAACGATGATAATAGGTTAACATATGACATTATATAAAATATAAATTTGACTTGATATTTTAATGAATGTAGATATATAAAAGCTGCCGTGTTACGTACGGTTTTATATTTTGTGTAATATTTTTTTTTAATGCTTCCTAACAATTTTATCCAAATTTAAATGCACGGGAAACATTCAGTTATAAAGAAGACTCGTTAAAATCTTGAAGCGGTAAATCCGGTGCAGTTACGGTAACAAATCACGAATCTTCTAACACTTTGTTGCTCCACTTTAGTAAACTGAATTGTTGGGATCAAAATCAAAGGGTAAAACTTCGTAATGAGTCGTTTTTTTTCTTTTTTTGGTACGCTGGCTTGAAATTAATTTGTTAAAATTGAAATTTGAACAAAAATATTTATTTGGTAACCGAATCTATTTTTGTTCAAAACGTCAGGGTTGATCGGAGCAAATACTTGACCGAAAGGAAATCGTGTTTCGCTTTAGAGGTTTTTTGCGTGGTGTCTACCGCTGTCTACCATTAGGTCTTCGTCTTGCTCTGATGCTTTAGACCAATTGAATTTACCAAAAATCTGTGGAGACTTTACCTCAGATCCCAAATCATCTCACAACGTGCATATTTCGGGACACAAGACCGGAATTCAAAACCATTTTTTTGTTATTTTTTTTTGATTTTGACCATTTGAGAGACAGTGGAAAAATTTTATTTTAATTTTCTTTCGGAGAAAACAAATCTTTGCAAAGGAGGTTTTTTAATCAAGAAAAAAAAATCATAGTTGATTTTTTTTTAACAATCGAAATTTGTAAATAACGTTGATGTTTGCATGAATTTTATTCTTCTATAATGACAGACTTGAAAAAAAAATTTTCAATTGATCAATTGGCCTTTAATCTGGAATAAATACAAGGACAAATAAATCGTTTTTTTTTAGTTAAGAAAAAAAAAGCTTAGTTGATTTTTTTAACAATCGAAACTCATAAATGATTTTTGATTCACATTAGGATTCTTCTTTGCAAAGGATCTTTTATTAAATTTATTAAATTCGTGAACAATTTCCCTTTGTACATGTAATAAATAAATTTTTGCTCAACGCAACGAATAAAAATATGACTTGGCTAATGTTGATGCTTCGAACGAATATATAGTCACCTCGCATTTGAATGTAACCTGTGAAACTGAATCATATATAGAACACTACGTACCTCGACCTCAAATTTGAATGCAACGTAAAAAGCAAAACTAATGCACCGTTTTTCGGGTAGCGGGTCTATTTATATACACTTTTGTTGTAATTTGTTAGACTACTCGATCAATGCACCATCTGGCCATGAAATAACCTATTTTTATTAAATATTGCATCATTGATAATGAATACATGATAGTATGTTTAGATAATTTGCATCCAGTGCTAATTTTGATGCTCCGAACGAATATATATGTATGTGATTGAGTTGTGTGATTTTATAATATTATGATGCCAGAATATTATTGCACTAATAATAATAATGCTAATTTATATTTCATGAAACTCACTGTTATGTTTTCATTTAAAAACTTGTTTTCCTTTGTAGAGGGTTGAATGGCGCATAAAAACAAATTTTTCGTAATATTTATTCATATAAACCATAAGATATAAAAATACATCAACTAATGGGCTAACAATAATTAGTAACGTAATTTGCCTTAGTGAATAAGCAAAAATTAGGACCAATGTCGGTTAACTAGTGAATGTTAACAACGGTTAATGAAGCATTGTCTAAAGGTTAATTGGTAATATTATTGTAGTTGTAAATGTAATGTCAAGTCGTTTTGTAAATAAATTAAAACAAGTTTGCAATTGGTCAGTAAATGTAGACGGCTAAAATAAATTGATCATAAATGAATAAAATGAAAAAGTGTCATCTTTCTTTCTGGTGATAATGATGATAATAATTTAACATATGGCATTATACAAAAATATAAAATATAAAATTCGACTTGGTGTTTTAATTTTTTGAGAGTAATAGTAACGGTTACATTATTTCCTTAATATTAATATTAGCATATTAATATCAAGTGTTGAAAATTCGATCAGGGCGTATCACGTTACACACAATTTCCATATTTATTAATTAATTAATTGGTCATACACAAAAAGTCATTTAATGATTTTATTAAGAAATAATTTTTTTGAGCTTCCAACGTTGGATGCATCAATTCTTTTCTTAATAATGTAAAAGAATGGATTATTCACACTTTATCTGTTATTATCAGAAGATTACAAATGTTGGTGTATATATTATTCTGTTTAAAATATTTCTTTTCGTAAAATAAAAGTTTTTTTTTTAAAATAAAAACGAATGCCACCAAATCCTATAATAATAATAATAATAATAATAATAATAATAGTAATCTGTAATGGAAAATTTCTCAATATTAATATTAACGTTAATCCTATAATTAACAGATTACTGAACTGTAATAAGTGAGGTCTTAACAGATACATAAGAATCCAAAATTCGTCATATCAAATTACTAATCGCATTTTATATATGTTTACGACTTGTTGAAATTATTTTTGACCAATAAAATTATTCGGTTAAATCTTTTTTAAAACAATATGACGAAATCATTCATATTATGACCACAAATAATGAATCGAATCTTTCTTTCATTTAAATTAAGAAATACAGATAACGTTGTATGATAACGCGATAACGATGGTGACAAGACCTCGCGATTGTTAAGTATAAACAATGCTTATTAGGGATATATAGCCATCATTTTCGCCTTTATGTAATAGTTATTCCCTGCGTAGCAGGGAAAACCCTCTTGTTATATCATTTGTTACACAGGGAATAACTGATTTATTTCCTGGATCCCAAAAAAAATGTCAGGATCGATGCGACTAAAATAAACTTTTTAAATAAACTTTGTAAACATTTCTAATTGTACATATCATATTATTTATATAGTTTGATTCTTCAATAACTATTTTTTAAAAATTCAAGAATTCTTATATTACATATAACCATGACAAATAATGATAATAATAATTATTCTGCTAGATTTGTAATTCCAACTGATTCTGAAATTGAAGAACTTATGAACAAAAGTCAAGTGCCAAATACTCTATCAAACACAAATACATGGGTTCGATGTTTAGAGAATTTTCGAGAAGAAGCGAATTTGACATATAAAATCACAGAAATTACTGATATTCAACAATTACAAGAAGAATTAATATTATTTTTCGTTGGGTTAAAAACCAAAAAAGATCACCAAGACTACCATCCGAATTCAATTAAAAACTGCTATAATGCTATATGGAGATACTTAAAAGACAATTCTGCAATTCAATTTGTAAATATTTTTGATCCTATTAATTTTTCTAGATTACATAAAGTAATTGATGGTAAGATCAAAAAAATTCAAGATCATGGAGAAATAAAAATTAATAAAGCTGATAGTTTATCAAATCAAGAAATTGTCAACATTTTAAATCATTCTACTATGAATGAACTCACTCCTGATTCAATTACAAGACGTGTTTACTTTTGGATTCTTTTGTTAGGAGCGTGTAAAGGTGGAGATCCTAGAAAACTTCAATTAAATTGGATCAAAATTGTTGCTGATAAAGGATTGGTTATAAACTTTCCAAGAGACAAAACAAACCAAGGAGGACTGTCAGATCCTACTAACAAGGGTAGAATTATCAACATTCCTCCAGATGATGGAAAAAAATATACACCTGTTGGTGATATCCTGTATTATATTAGCCGTAGACCTCCAAATGGGAATTGCACTTCCTTTTTTTTAAGAATACAATCCAAAAAAAATATTAGCATGGGTATTTGGTTTGTTGATTCTCCTCTTGGTAAAATGAGTCATGAAAAAATGATATGTAATATTTGCAATTCAACAGGCATTGATGTTGATACAAGGAAGTTAACTAATCATTCCATTAGAAGGACTGTTGTACAACAACTGACAGAGTTGAATATTCTAAATGAACACATTATGATGATAACAGGGCATAAATCACTAGCTGGTTTATCTGCATATCAGAAAGTTCCTGTTGAAAAATTACATGAGATTATTTCAAATATTATTCCAAACAGTTCAGATGTTCAAGAAATTAGTGATAATGAGGAAATTGAAGAAATTATTGATTCAGAAGGTAAATATATATTTTAAAATACTATAACAATTAGAAAATAATATTTACACATTTATTCTTATTATGTACAGATGAAAAATTGCCATTAAAAGAGAAAACAAATTTAGTTAATAAAAGATTAGGCACCAAGACATATCTTGGTGAAATAACTAGTTTTGATTCAAAGAAACCATTTCGTATTCCACTTAAAAGAGTAACTGAAGAAATTGGACCAATTGAATATAATTCTTCACAACCACCACAAATAATGGTTCAAAATTGTCCTAATTCTAAAATAGAAATTAATATTTCACCTTTAAATTAAACCATTGTTGTCACTGTATTTACGTTTTATATAGATATATTTACGCGCATTAGCATATTGTATTTATTATTATTGATTGTATTGTAAAACTGCGGGATTATAATTTAATACTATTAATATTAAGCTATTTTTTAAATCAATAAAATTTTCTATAAATAGTAACCAGGAAATAACTAATTATTTGCTTTTTTAATAATCATGTCGATCCTGACATTTTTTGATTGGGAGACAGGAAATAACATAATGATATTAATTAGATTTGTTGATCTACTTGTATGACACCCCCCAATAAATTATGCATAACCTGTTTGTGCTACCTCATGTTGTATACTTTTTCTTGGCAGGTGAACCATTCTCCAATTTTTCCCCTCCATTATCAACTACTATGAAGGTTGTGAACAACTATCTGAAAATTACTTCACCAGAATTGTGGAGTCTCGATGGCTTTGTCAATTGGTGTGGCTCATATGAGATATTTAAGGGAGACAAAGTGAAAATCTTGGACCATATAAAAAAGGGACTTGAGAAAGTCAAGAATAATGTACTTATTAATGAAGTTATATGACAGAAGGCAACTAAACTGTACAAGGACTTTCAGGTGATGTATTACATATATAAAATAGTACACATAGGATAGGATTGTATGCATCATTAAACGACTATTTGTTGTTTCTGTTGCTACAAATCTGAAGAGATAACAAAGATGTCGGATTGAGCCAGGGGACTATTTGTCAACTGGAAGATCAACTACTTGTTTATCCTTCTCTTTGGTCTCCTGTAGCACACTAGGGACTATTTGTTACCGGTGTTGGACTATTTGTTCGCTATGGCCTTTTATGCTTTTTAAAACAATGAGATTTTGATTTTTGATTATGTATTATTGGGCCAAATTTAATTCATTCATTTCATGCTTTATGATAGCAAACATGGAGATCCTCACAAACAATAACAGAATATTTCCAACAGCTTGAGGTTCGTTATCAGACCAAACAGAAATTGGAAGTAATTGAAAGCCAGAAGACTATTGAGCTTGCCGAAATTGAATGTATAAAGGTACTTTTTGTTCTTTTATACACGCAACATACAACTTTCTTGATATAGTACGCTATCTGCACTAAATAATTTTGATATGTATATGCTGCAGGTTACTCAATTACGGAATAATACAGAATCAGTAATGAAGATTCATCAGCATGTTTCTGGTAGCTTTGTGGAATTTAGCAAAGAAATGACAAGAATACCAAAACGCACATTAGAATCTGATCGCGAAAGTAATTCTGATAAAAAACAAAAGCCTGTGAGTATCTTCACTGTGAATGCATATCTTGAGATTAAAAAATTTCTAATTTTGTTTCTGTCTATTAAAGTCGGCATTGGAAGATCCTGAAAAAACCAAAAAATGACACAAATTGCCTGGGTAAGGATGTACAATGCAAAAAAATTGTTTCCTTTTTTTTCATTGAGCTCATTGTTTTTTTTATATTAATAGGAATGATTTTGAACATGGCGAATCTAATGATGTGGAAGATAGTGATGAGGAATTAATTATTATAGATGATGATGAAGAAATAAATAATCTTACAAAGGTATTTTGGTATTACTATCTCTTACATATAATAACTATCCTCACTCATACTTAAACTCCTAGGACGAGATGGACATTCGTAACAAGATGTATAAAGTTTTGGTTGCACGCCAAAACAGTGAAAAAAAATCTGGAAAGAATCAGATGACGTTGATATATCTCAATGGTATAATAGATTTGTCCGATGAAGAAATACACAGAAAAATCAAAAAGTCTCTAAATGAAGAGCAACTTGCATGGCTTAATGTGGTTCTTACAAAACAAGTTTCAAATAAAACTGATGAATTTAAACAATATGTTGGGCAGTTTACCGAATGTGTATGTAATAGAGTCCAAGTTCCGACCCTTGTCTGTAATTCTTTTGTTTCGGGAAGATTCGATTCCTATTATTATGAAGATTACGATATTGCTCATCAAGTACTTGAACATTGGTAATTTCATATCCATGTTAATATTCGTTTTAGTTGATTTTTTTTTCATTTTTATTAACTTTTCTGTAAATAGTTCCACAAGATTAGAAGCTCATATTAGCTACGAATCCAAAAGTTTTAATTTAGAACGAACATTTGCAATAGATACTGTAATATATATTTTAAATCGTTTATTCAAGTTGCATCAAGATGTTTTAGACAGTGGGTGGTAAGTACCAATTATAAATTATAAAAGTGTTGGGATAGCTTATCAGTTTAATTATGTTTTTCTTCTACTTGGGATTGAATTGACTACTCCTCATACAAAACATCACAAATTTGATGGGTTATTTAAAGTAATAAGAACAAAACCAAAAAATCAAGTTATAATTCGTTGTTGAATTTTCAAGTGGCAGAAAAGCATCATTAACTAAAGAACATGATGACCATGTTAAATTATGTCGAAATGCGATGAGGATTTTAAATACCGTATTAACAACTGCACCCAGGGAAAAGGCACGAATTTACTTGATAACAATTTGTTAGTAAGTATTTGATCAAAGGTTGGGTAATAAAAAAGGTGCGAATTATTTACATACCTCTAAAAAAATTTTTTTTTTATAGACAGCTATCTTAAAATTGAGTATTTGATCCATCCCTTACCACCAGTGTATCTTCTTGATCGTTTTATATGCACTAAAGTACCTGAGACCTTTGACGACTTCGAAAAATTTTCCACGGATATGGTGGAACTAATGAATTGGCAGGTATGGACTTATAAATTAGTCAGACTTCCTTTTTATGGTAGCTAATTTTAATTATAGGCAGATGTCTTATCCATGGCCAAAGAAATCGACAAAATTCCTCACACAGCTGAAAGCAATAATATCTGCATAACTTTATTGGAAGATACACCAAAACAAGATAAAAAGAAAGCTAACGATTCATATCCAGAATTGCCTTGTCCTGGATCACCAGGATCGCCGTTGATATAAAATTATTTTTGTTGTTTCATTTAGTTATCAGGTTTTTTAAAACTTTTCTATCCAATATATGTATATATGCATGATGTGTTAGAAAATAATAAAAAATATACGACTCTATCGGATTAATTTGAGCAACTGCGAATTTTCCTTGCATTAGTATTAGTAGAGTACTTGTTAATCCGCCCACGTCGGGCTTTTATTTTTTAACTTGTGTATGCTATATATATGCGGTGTGGTGTGTACAAACTTTTGTCATGCATGCATTATTTATTATCACGGATAACCGCTTTCCGATAATATTGACCTTTAGCATGTCTCATGAATGAACCACCCGGGAGAAATGACTGCGTTGGATTATTTTAGCAGAATCTATATATTCGTTTTTTCAGATATGCCCGATGCATGATTTTTGTTATACTTGGATCGGCTATTGATTATTAACTTTATTAATACAAAAAAAAAAAATATAAATAAAAATTTAATAATAAATTATTTATTGGTTATTGTTATTATCATTACTGTTATGAAGATGAGAATCTTTTCGATACAAAAATGAGATCAGTAAGAACCGTCTCCGAAGTCATGATATTAATCTATAACATAAAGAATATAATCGGCAAGTCTAAAATTGAGAAAACCGCTTCCAGGTCATTCGACCAATCTTGCGTTATTTACATAATATTAATTGAATTTATAACATAAGGCTAGATATTTAATATTAAGTAATAATATTTTAATTTGAGAATAATCAAAAGGGTTTAATTTTTTTTTAAAAGGAATTATTTTTTCATATTTTCATATAAAAGATTAAAACGATTAATTAATCAATTATTCCATCACATGGCAGTAAATTCTAAAAAAATAAAATAAACAAACGCTCCATAATATTTAATTAGATCATTCATGATTATATATTTATATTTACATTATATAATATAAATATACGAATTAAATCTTTTGATTATTTATTAATATATAATTAATTAGGTTTACTATTAACAAGAATAGATTTCGTAAAAATGATCCATGCCATTACTATTATTACTATTACTATGCATTGTGTAATTAAAAATTCCTTGGCCGGCTAAACTGGCTGACATCACTAATGAAATTTTTACTGTTTCTAAACAAATAACTATTAATATATATATAACACGGAAGTATTAATTTTATTATTATCATCTTTGTTTGTATATTTTATTTATGATATATTATATATTTATTGCTATATAGTATTTTTAAGTTGACCAATTGTTACAACTAATGATTATAGATGATCTGCACCGTGTTTTTTAAAAATTCGAAGTTAAAAAATAAGAAATTATGTTTAAAAAAGAGAAAAATTTAGATTTTTTATCTATTATATATTAATATTAGAATTGTTACAATAATTAAAAAAAATAAAATGAAAAAAAATAAAAGAATGAAAAAATATTTTCGGAGGGTGGTTAAGAAATGAGTAAATTGTCGTCGAGTTTGTTGTTGTTGTTGTAAATGTCGGATTTGTAGTTGGTGTAATTGTTGTGTAACCTGTAATGACCGTATTTGATTTTGTTGGAAATTTAATTGATCTCGGAGTGTTGGTTGTCGTGGTTGTCGTGATCTCCTAGCTACAGTTGTAGGACTAGGAGTTGGGTCGGAATAGGAGTAGGAGTAGAAGTAGAAGTAGGATTAGGGGGTGTAGGAGGATTAGGAGTAGGAGTATGTGTAGGAGTAGGTGTAGGTGTTGGTAAAGGAATGTACGGTTGATGCATTAAAAATGCCAACGAATTGTAATTGTTGTTATTAATGTTGTTGTTATTGATGCATTAAAAATGCCAACGAATTGTAATTGTTGTTATTAATGTTGTTTTTATTAATGTTATTATTATTGTTGTTGTTATTATTCATTTTGTTAAATCTTATAACTTTTTATCTTTTAAAATTTTTTTTAAATTTTGATAAAATATTATATATTTATTGCTATATAGTATTTTTAAGTTGACCAATTGTTACAACTAATGATTATAGATGATCTGCACCGTGTTTTTTAAAAATTCGAAGTTAAAAAATAAGAAATTATGTTTAAAAAAGAGAAAAATTTAGATTTTTTATCTATTATATATTAATATTAGAATTGTTACAATAATTAAAAAAAATAAAATGAAAAAAAATAAAAGAATGAAAAAATATTTTCGGAGGGTGGTTAAGAAATGAGTAAATTGTCGTCGAGTTTGTTGTTGTTGTTGTAAATGTCGGATTTGTAGTTGGTGTAATTGTTGTGTAACCTGTAATGACCGTATTTGATTTTGTTGGAAATTTAATTGATCTCGGAGTGTTGGTTGTCGTGGTTGTCGTGATCTCCTAGCTACAGTTGTAGGACTAGGAGTTGGAGTCGGGATAGGTTAGGATTAGGAGGTGTAGGAGGATTAGTAGGAGGATTAGGAGGAGGTGTAGGTGTCGGGAAAAGTTGAAGTGGTTGAGGAGAAGGAATAAGTTGTTGTTGTAATTGTTGCATTAAAAATGCTAATATATTATTATTATTGTTATTATTATTGTTACTATTATTGTTGTTTTTGCTCATTTTTATTTGTATATAAATTTTTACCTTTAAACTAGAATGATGACAAATGGTGACCACCATCATTCTTTTTAATAAATAACACTTATTCATGTACGTCTTCTGTTTCGTTAAATATTTTCTCTATTTAGTTTTTGAAGACTTTTTTTTAAAGATCAATAAAAAATTAACCATTCTTACAATAATATTTACCAAGCAACCGCCTCCTGTTCAGTTTCTTTTTTTCTTCTTTTATTGTTTTGTTGTTGCGACATTTTTTTTTTTAATGTAAAAAAACAAGTGAAATTAACCAATGAAAATCATCCATATCGAATTTCACGTAATTTTTCAAATTTAAAATTTTTTAAAATATTTATTTATTTATCTTTTATCTCAAACATTAGAAGGTTGCAAAATCAATCTTTTTATACATATTTCTGAACATAATTCACATTAGATAATCAATGATATGAGTGATGATATAAAAATGATGATATAAAAATGATGATATAAAAATGAGATAAATAAATACAGATGTATTGTTCATGATTAGACAAGAATGTTCTCTAAAATTCTTGATGATATAACTGATGAGATAATAATACATTAATGTATTATTTATGATAAATGAATGATACAATCGATGATACAACTGCTGAGATAATAAAATATTAATGCATTATTCATGATAAATCATCAAATGATCAAAGCGAAAAAGTTCTCTTACATCAGATATTTTATTACAAATAATCATTTTACTAATGATGAAATATACAAATAAAAAATTATTAAATCACACATTACTAAATAGTAATGATGACCCTTCACATAATGAAATATCACGTGAGACCGACTTATCGAAATAAATCTTGGAAGAGTCCAGCATTTAGTCCCGAATTTGAATAATTTCTGAGTGAAGGAACTTATGTAATGAATGTGATTGCGCTTCGATTCAAGCCGTGTTGGAAGACCTTACTTTCGCAAAATCTTTATACATTAGTATAGCTGAAAAACAAAGTGCTGCTAGTGCAGATAGAAAAGACAAATTTGGAAAAAGACAGGATTTAATGTTTATATTGAAAAATAAAAGTTTTGCTTATGAACTTGTATATGGAGAATTCTCATGCTTGGCCCGTTCTGAGGGTAAAAAAGAAAATGACGATATCAAGCCCTGGCAAGAAACTAATGATGGTATGTTTTGGGCCCATAAGAAGTATAAACCGGCCAAAGGCGATTTTGGAATTATTGGATTACAAGTAGCTGGTACGTTTTTTTCTCATTCAACCTGTAGTGAGGTTGTCAGCAACTTGACTTTGGATACATGTATACTAACACAAAGATACACCTTTGTAGGACATACTCTGCACCTCAATTAGTGTTGGTTTCCAAAACTAGAGAGTTTCGCGACCGTGCGAAAGTCAAAAGGTTTCGCCACAAGTCGAAACTAGTTTTGATTTTTGATTATTGACTTTTGATTTAGTTTTAACATATAACTTTTAATTTTAGTTTTGACTTTCGTCTCTTCAAAATAGTTTTGGCGACCAACACTAATCTCAATGTGCTCATCAAAGATGTGGCTGATCTACACTGATACTGTCATCTAAAGTCTGTGGAAATTCCCGTTCATAGAACAGAGGAGGTTGTTGTCACAAAGTTTATATAAACTTTATTGATGTTGCAAGTATGTTGTAACCAGATATCAACTATGTTTTTTATTGTTTTCTTGTATAACTAACTTTATTCTCATTCTATATAACGTCCTTATTGTTAATATGTCTCTTGTATCTTGTGCGCCTCCTAATAGAGTGCGTAAGAAGCAAAAAAGTTCAACAATTTCCTCTCCTAAGTGACATAACAAAAAAACCAATATAAATCATTCATAGTGTATGTTTTTTGTTTTACTATAAATGTGCGGCTCTAGTAGATTGTGTAAGAATATGGAAAAAGTTTAAACAATTTCTTTTGATCAATAAAATTATTATTATTATCATCATCATTTTTACAAAAAAATCATCAACTATATTAAAACGAGACTATTTGCCTCTAAATATATTCACATATCTTTTCGTAGTCAAATACTGCTTTCATACTCAAATGTTCCTATTCATGATAGTTATGTGTTCCTTGTTTATGACATATATACTTGTTCCGGTTTTGGTAGTGTAAATATCACTCAGGATTTGTGATGAACCTACCTAGAGTTTTTCGTTTATCTACATGAGGAAATGTATTCAATTTTTTATATCCTAAATGGATAATCTTACACATTTATTTAGTTTTATGTGTCATCAAACTAATTTGGCTATTATTCGAAGTTCATAGAACATCCACATCGTCAGTTGATATATTTGTGTGACTATATACAGGGAACTTTAAGCTTGGATTAACTATATACACGTGGAGAGTTCTCTAGCAAAAGGGACCTTAGTTCATATTAAATTATTTTGAGAAAATAACTCCTGATTGTTTGAGCCCCAAAATTTGTCATAAATTTTGGTGAAACGGCCGAATTTTTCATATAAGACAAAAATTATTAAAAATAAATTTTGGTGGAATAGCCGAATTTTTCATTAACTTATTCTTTATAAACAGTGAAAAATTTCTTATAAAAAATTTTTTTAAAAAATCAAATATCTAGTACTAGTATAAAACATCAGAAACAAAAAACTAAACTTTATTTATCAAAAATTATATTTTCAAATTTAGATCAATCATCTGTAGATTTAATTCATGGAATTATCATCTGAAAATTTAATTTTAGCAGATGAGTTATATGATTTAGGATTAGAAGAATATGAACCAAATGAATTGGTATTTAAAGCATTCAAGATTTGGAATTATTTTTTGAAGATGAATCAAATTGCAAATGTAAAAAAAAAGATAAAATATGTTTTAAAAAAATTGGCTTTAAAAATTTTTTAGAAAGACAATTCCAGTTAAAAGGATTAGAAGACAATCAACTAGATCTTTGTATTAAAACACAATTAATGGCTTTTAAAATAAATGATGATGAGACAGAAAAAGATATTTATAATTATCAATATAATTCATCAATACCCATTTGTCAACCAGTTTTTTTATAGAACTAAGTGGTTTTGGTATAAAAAAATTCAAAGCCTTGCAAAAGCATTTAAAAACAGATGATTTAATAGATCATATACATGGTAATACTGTAAAGTTTCTCAAAATAGTTCACATACAATTGTTAATCTTGAAATTGCACAATTATTTAAGAATTTTTTATTGCAATACTCAAATTTACATGGACTACCATCTCCTATGTGAATGAGGGATGAATCAGAATTAATCAATTATTTACCAACTTATTTAAATTATACTACAGTATATGAGAAATTTAGAAATTATTTTGATTTGGATATGAATCCATTAGACCCATTGAATATAAGACATTTTACAAACTATAGAAACAATTAACACCATACATTAAATTCCAAACACCTGGAACTGATCTTTGCTATATTTGTGAAGCATTTAAAAGAAATATAAAATTTACAAATGATGATGATGAAAAAGAAAATATTAGGTTTGAATGTAGAAAACATTGAGCAAATGCAGAATAGGAAAGAAGCCATTATAATAAAATAAATGAGAAAAGTAAAAATGATCCAACAATAACACACATTTGTTATGATTGGGCCCAAAATGTTGCAGCTCCATTTTCTTCTCAGCAATTTGGATCAATTTATTTCAAATCCCCTTTCATTGTATTCCTTTTTGGTGTATGTAAGACAGATGTCGGAAAAAAATAATCAGTTAAATTATAATATAGAAGAAGATGAATTACCAGAAGGAAAATCAAAAAAATGAACCAACACAACTTTGAATATGGTTTTTGATTTTCTCCTAAAGAATCATTGTGTTGATAAAAAAGATCTTTATGTCACATGTGATAATTGTCCTGGACAAAATAACAATTTGTCTCTTTGGTTTTGGTCATGGTTAACAATGTTGGATTGGTATGAGAATATTTATATAAATTTTATGATACCTGAGCACACAAAATTTATTTGTGATGCTGAATTTGGATCTATTAAAAAAGCCTACAAGAACAGTCATATAAATACTGTTGATGATGTTGAGATGGTTATAAACAGATCATCTATACATAATAAGTCTATTAGATATAATAATGGGTTAGGTTGGAAATGGAAAGACTTTAATTCAATGTTAAAAGATCATTTTAGAACTTTACCAAATATAACAAAGTATCATCATTTTCGCTTTAGCAGTTCATCAAATGATATTGGAATAGTTTATTTTTCAAAAAAATCTGGTGAAGAATGCTTTTATAATCTTTTAAAGAATACAACTTTTGATAAAGATACATAATTAAATTTTCTTGAAGTTATTTTAGAAGATTGAAAAAAATTTAAAATGTTACACCAATTTTTTTATATTGTGCAATGTAACTTTACAATACACGGTAAACATTCTAATATCTAGCCTTATGTTATAGGGCGTCCTCAGAAATTAAAATTTGATTAAATTAAGATTTGATTTGATTTGATTAAGATTAAATAAATAAATTTATCCTCAGAAATTAAATTTTTGATTTGTATGGTGCACGCCACTATAACCCATCAAATGCTGCGCAAAATGTTTCAAATTCACAAAAAAATTTTGAATTTTTTTTTATTATGTTAAAAAAATTTTACATGGCACAATTAAAGATGTCGATCAAAAATAAAAATGTTTAATTCATCTATTTCATCTATCACATTGTCTGGAATCCTTTTATGTGACTTATATTTTTTTACAATATATTTGGCCTGTAGTACTGTTAATCCTTTCCTGTAACAATCCTTAGAACTTGGGGCTCTCACCGCATACTTACTAATTTTGTCTCAGTGATATAGAATCAAAAGCATTAGGGACATTCTCTTGAGGACTTTTCCATGTGTAATTGAAATGTTGTCTAACATATCATTTAGCAGCCCCCAAATACATTTCAATGTAGTTAAGCTCACAGTGAAACTTTGGATAGAAGATGACT